GTACTTGAAATAACCTGTGGACTCGAGTAATAAATGATGAGTTGTTCAGTCAGAGTCTCCGACAACCGCATTTGTGTATCTTACTGTGCCCGCTGTTACTGTAGTATTCGCTTGAGCTGGTCATCTGATATGAGTATCTTGATGTTTTTCCTTCTTCCCCGTCGCCACTGTTATAATTCTCTTCTTATTATAACCCAGCTATTCCTAATGCTTAGAATTCTCGGACACCAATTCACTGGAGACGATCTCCCGAATCAGAACATCGTTGAATAGGAAACACACTACATTCCAATAACAAGGTTAGATGGAAGACAGAAGGTTTAAAGGAAAAAGATGTTAGTATATTTATAGTTTCTTACATGAGAAGATTCTAAAATGTTCTTTTAGCATCGATTAGAGCTGGTAGGGTACGAAAGAACCAATCAGCGAGAAACAACACAATTGTGAATGGAACAAGTTTTAATCCAATCTATGTCCCGCTAACACTTCGATACCACAGGGGCGCCAGCAAATATGTTCCCCTGTCTGGATTAACTATTCTCTGTCCTTGATTCACGTATATATTACGCCTAGTAACAGGAATGTAAGTGGTCTATTGTGGTGTCCATAGTCAACCGCGACTCGCGTTACTACAAGCATTTCACATTTCAATGCACTAATAATCATCATTTTGAAGTGAGAAACTGTAGCATAGCATGGATGAATCGAAATCTTTACCCTTACTTTGTTTTCTGATATTCTACTGTTTTTGCCTATGATCACCATTTCATTAGCTGTTTTAGAGCTGTAATAGTTGTGTCTCATTTCTCCACATTCATTTCAGACGGGGAACATGTACTTGAATCTAAATAAATATTTTAAACTTTTCATGACAATATCCGGTCAATTTTGTTCGCAGTGTGATTGATTATTACTCGTAAGAAATTAATACTGTCATGCGAAGTTTGTACATAACTATTTTCCAAACTTGACTACAGATTCCAACACATTTAAGAGAAGATTTAGTTTATAACGATTATCACTAGAAAGTTAACTGATTGGTATCGTGAAGATTTGTAAAAACACAAGAATTATCCTAAGAAAATGCGTTTTCATCCTATGCAAACTTTGATCCAATGAATGATGCACGACACTCGATAACTGATTCTTTATATATATCCGGTTATATATTTGATGTTCCAGTTTACTGTGCCGATATCTTTTAAGTGATTTTATTAGTTTTAATGAGTTTCGCAAAACTAAATATTGACCTAACAAAGTTTTCCTGCTGATTAGTAGGTTAATCCTGTTTTGGTTGATCGAATGAAAACATTCGTACACTCCTAATTATTGATAAGCTGTCGTTTTTGAAGAATTACAAGATTACAGAATAGACGTCTGAATCGTGAAAAAAGAAATTCGTTGAGTAAACATCAGTCATTATTGATAATCAACATGTTTTGGAACACGGTTCAGTAACTACTAACTTTATTTTCCACCCTGTTAGTAATGTGAATCCTTCATTCATATCCCTGAAACAAAATGCAACGCAGTTCAAAGTGATCAAATGAAAGAGGTATATAGGATCCATAGATTCAAAATTATTCACCTCAGTATCTGACAATAAAATCAAATAGATTAAAAAACTTGAAATACTTTGATGAGTCGTATGTAACCTAAATGACGCTATTCACTTTCACTATAAAGATACTAATCTATCACTTTCTAGTGATTTATTTATTCTGAACTAGGATCATTTTCTATGATGATAGGGAGAAACGTCACAATTTCAGTTTGTTTTAGTATTAAAAGATGGATATTTGTTATTGACAGACTTGATCATACACACTGACTGTCTTCACAACTTTATAATTTAACAGTCAATACATAATGTCTTCTTTTTTGGGAAAATAGCACATTTAATTGTAATATAAAAACCATTCTATTTATTCTATACATCATAAATCGATATTGTCCATCCAGAGATTGATCAATTTTATTTGATTTATTCTCTCTAGGCAAATTAAATGAGAACCTTTCCAAAGGTAAGGTTAAATAATGTAAGGTCGTACGGCTTTCTCTGTTAACACTGTAGTGGAACTATTTTATGGAGAAAACATAATTGCTGATATGCAAATACTTATTATTGAACATGTATAATAATAACTATTTGATTGTACACCTTTTGTTTATCTGTACTAAAGGCCATACATAAGTCAAGCGCCAACCTCGCCAACCATGTGGCCTTGTTATTTCGCTGTCTGGCTGAACACGCGATATCTAATCAATAAATATCGTTATTCTATAACTCGATTATTCTTGGTTTTGATTCGTTTGGGAGTTTTCACCTGGCAATCATCCCAACGGCTACACTACGTTAGTGGTGACCAAGTCAAGATTAATTATGATCACCACCAAACACTAATTACTATCCCGTCATATTAAATACAAATAAATCTAGGGTAAAGAATATATTTGAAGGAGAATGTGGGCGATACAGTGAGCAGCAAGTTATGAAGGATGGCAGCAACGCGAAAAAAGAAGTTTGCGCGTAAGTAAGTGTTTTTAGTACAGTTAAACAAAACGAGTACAATAAAAAATTTTTATTTTTCACCAATCGCGTTTTCTTCGTAGAAGTGTTCCACTACACTACCATCAGCTGTAATGAATGTTTTGTTCTAAATGTCTGAATCATCCTTTCATGATAATATGAGTCAAGACATCACTCAAGTGTCAGTCAATTTACGAAATTCTTGCTTCGTTGATCAAACCATTTAGTCAATGAATACCATTTTAAATGAATACCTTTTAAATCAGATGCAAAATCTCAGCACCTTCTAAGTAGAACATCTGTTGAGAATTGTGAACAGCCTATTAACAAAATAATACACAAATGTATGAAATCAAGAATCAGGTTGAGAGGGATATGACTATCAAAATAATATTACAGACAACCATAGTTTGAAAACAAGAAATAACAAATTAAAATCAATATGGGCAAGAAAATTTGTCGTAAATCTAGTTTCCATCTGAAGTTTATCCTGATGGTGTTAAGGAGAAGATTGCATGTTTAAGCTAGGGTACTCAAATAAAAGAAAATTCCACCACCAAGGTGATTAGAGAAACTTCAAGCCTAAATTTTTTAAATTTCGATTTCAAATAGAACAAACAATGTTATTCAGTATGAAAATTTTTTCCTAAACAGACTAGATACATTGTAATATTCCTAGTGTAATCAGTGAAGAAGATAAGACCAGAACCAATAGGTGGTTTATTTGACAAAAGCACAGTTTACCAGTAAAATGTGTATATCTTATCTTTAAGAGCTCATTTTCAAAACAAGCGGATTGTTGGCTGTTTCTACAAGTTCTCTAGTCTTGAAAACACTTTGACAACGCCACTTTTCTGCATCCGGCACTCCTCATTTGAGCAGTTTCTTCAGAGTGACTCTCCGCTGCACATTGTTTACAAGTCACGTTGAGAGAAGTATACACCGCATTAGTAATAAAACAGTGAATTTTTTCGGCCAAATTTATTGTACAATATAGCCCAGCAGTATCTAACTTTGCTAATAACTTTGAATGAAGGTAATTATTACTTACGAATTATTACAAATATCTAACGAACAATTTTGTTAGAAAGTAACTTCGTCTGAAATACTGTTGCAAAAGTTAGGCGATTGGAACCACTGTTGAACAATTTATCATTACCCATATACAAACTTACAGGTATTTAGTTGTTGGGAGGTCCTGATATATCCGTTGGAAAATTTTATAAGAGCCCAGAAACGTCTGAAAAATGAAGAATTACTTGTCCCGATTCTGATTAAATATTTAGTTACACCGCTACTGTACATAGTATGGTTCCTGAGCCTTCATGAACCTTAAGTTCACTAGTAACTCTATAAACGGCCTCGTTTTTCTGTACAGAATATGAAAGTGGAGTAGAGCGTTTTCCTCGCAGTCTGCACCTCTTCCTCTATGTACAAGTTGCAATACAGATTTCAATCTGGGATATTTAGAAGCGAATAGAAAATCCGATATAGTTTATGGTGCAATGTTTTAGTTGTGCTACTCAACAACATCATCACAAACTTCAGGTAGATGTGAAGTATTCGAATTTCTCTCGTAGCCTGTCGTGTTAACCTTGATTGGTTGTTATTGACCTTTAACCTATCATTGTCTGTATATTCACTTTGAATATGGAGAAATTCCATCTACATCTACTTGAACTTCGTGCTGATGTTGTTCAGAAGAAACCAAAATATCCAGCTCAAAGAAAGAAATTCTGTTCTTCAGAATTCCTCATCATCTGTATCTTTTTCTTTCTAAAGTTACTTCACTGAACTATACTTCTTGAATAATATCTCCGATCCCTGATACTCTCTATTAACGCTAATTGTTCTACTATGTTTACCACAATGGGACTTAAACTGACAGTTGCGTATCTGTGCTAATGTAGTACGGCAACCTGAACTAATTTACGTACGCACGAAGTTCTACGTTGTAACTGACTGATATTTAGTATATACAAAATCATAACTAAGATCAATAGCATCAACACAATAAGATCCCATGACCATGACTACAAACTTTAATGACAGTTTGGCTGTGAATGATTGATCATCGGTTATTTCATGGAGTGATAAAGAATGGTATATTTTGATTTAAAATGTCAAACGTTTGTGTTTAGTTTAATGAAATAACCTGTTATTTGTTCAGAATAATACTGATTTAAAGAACCGAATTACACAATTAAACAGTCAAAATTACAGGACCATATTTCAAAAAACTATACACAGAAAAATCAATTTCATGATTCATAATTTACAATTTATCATGAACTGTTCAATGTCACACACAATATTGATCCAGTTAAGTAAATTTTAATAAACCATCATGATGATAGTGACTGATTATAAATAGTGCACATAATATTGATCAGTAAATTTAAACAAACTAGGTTTCTCAATTGGAAAGAAATTATTGCTTGCAGAAAATTCAGACAAAATTTTTAAGTGATGAGCGAATCAGTGTAATCGACAAAGAATATTAGGTCTTTTAATATCTAAATCACTTTATTGAATATATATTTCAAAACCTGATGATTGTTGAACAATAATTTGAAACAGAACAATCATATTAACTGTTAAGCTTTACTTCACTAAATATTAACATTGACAGAAGAAACATTTTTTTCAATTAGTTCTTGATCAAGGCTCTTTCTTACTTAACTTCATTGGAGCATAGGATTCCGACCAGCATTCGTTAAGCTGTAACACTAATATGTGTTTTACAAGTAAGAGTAAGAAGTGAATACCAATTAGTTGATGATAAGGTAGTTTATCAATATAATATTTAGTTACATAACGTTTGAAAGATTAAAATGAAAGCCAAGACAAACATAATTAATCAACTAATTAGTGTGAATATTAAGTAACAGTAGGAATAAGAATTTTGTTCAATATCCCCCTTTGGTTTACAGAATACTTAACTAATTGAAAATTTAATCATTCTCTTCGAAATAAAACTTCAAGGTTGTGTGTAATGTTTCGAATGTCCTATGAATATGTTATAATTAGAAATTTCAACAGTGTTTCAATTTATTTAGTGAATCAATTCTGTAGATTAGCATCGATTCCATGAGACATTTCATTCCAAATTCTAACTTATTATCGAGCATATTGAACTGCCATGACATTGAACATATTCCACATCAAATAGTTAAGGTTACACTTTTAGATAGTTAGTGTAACTAATCTATGATGAAAAAAAACTACTCTAACATGTGAAATACTCATTTTACAGAAATAATGGGAAGAAGAAAATGGCGAGATTAGTTGTATTAATGACATGAAATGAACACACAGAGAAATAATTCGGATAAAATAAACTAAACAAAATGCTAATAACAACCTAATGGGAACTAATTTCAACTGAAATAACTGTAAACAGCAACTACATACCTTAAATGATGCTTCTTTGAAATAATTTCGAACAAAATAAAAACATTTAAAAAAAAATCCAGAATAATTTTATTTAACGTAACAAAAAAAGCCAACAATAAGACATCCTATATAAATATAAACAATTGAATTTTGTTGTACTCCTCTCATAAAAGCTGAAAAAAAATTAATTGAGAAACAAATTAGGTGGTGGTCATTCATCGTTTGTGTTAATATTTAATAATTTAAAGAAAGCATGATCATTTGGTTCACGACCAAGAAAATCTTTCAACATCTCAGTAGCATCTTTAGAACCACCGGGACGAAGAATTTTTTCACGATAATCTTTTCCAACTGATTCACTTAAGCAACCACCATCTATAGCACATTGAAAACGTGATTCAAACATATCAGCACTGAACACTTCACTCCACTATAAATATAAATAATAATAAAATAAAAACAAATGAAAAAAAAACAAAAATTCATCAGAATGCTACAATAAAATTTAAGTATACTTTTCAAAGTAACTTTTAATCAACAATTAATGTGTTTTTTTTTAAAAAAAAAAGATCTCAGTTTAATTTCAATCCAATTAGCATAATATAATAAGTGGTATTTAATGATAGGTACTCTTAAACAATAAACAAACATTAAGCAGTACAATTTCAATGTAAACTATTTGTATGTGTATTATGATACTATTTAATAAGTGAAATCTAGTATTTGCCAAAATATTAAAATCAACTTTTTAAGTTTCATTTATTTGTTCAAGCACGTAATGATTGGTCTAAATAGACATCACAAAATACATGCACCATACAAATCACTGAATGGGCTGAGATACTGACCGGGTGCCTAAACCGAATAAGGTGGTTTTGTCAAGTGGTCTGTAATATGGTGGATGCACCTCACAAGATGGCATAAAACTTGTATGCAGCGAAGCGTCGCCTAGAAGTTGCTATCAGAGAGGAGTGTTTGGAGATCAAAATGGATGGTATGATCAAAGTATATTGAAGACCAGAAGAGATGTGAGATAAGATAGTCGATATCCTGCTTGGATTAGAGATAGATGTTTGAAAATTATATGTATATATTTTATAAATAAATGATATCTTCTCCAAATATTTATATTTCACTTGGCCTTAACCTCTTCGTACGTCACACGTCCCTTTGACTGGGAAGTCCAATTCACAAGGCAATGAAACAGCTCCAAGAGATGCCATATTAACGTAGCAAATGACCAACAACAGGTTAATACGCCATTTTTTCCATAAGGATGCTGGGGTTATGTACACTATTGGTTTAGAATCAGACTTTTCCGGTTCTTAAGATAGATGCTCCGTACCTGCCAAATGGGTTAAAGCGCTAACTAGTCGCTTTTCGTCCTCTCAATTTTGTAAACAACACCTCCGATACGAAAAGGCAATGAAGAGGGAATTCTTCGCAGTGGCTATACACTGGTGACAATTAGAACGCATTTGGAAAGAGAGAAAGAATGGACTCTCACCATCATTGACCATACCATGGCATTTGAAGGTTGACTGAATAAGCAACTGATTATGTATCAACTACTGAAGCATAATGAATCTATGAGAGATATCTTATGCAAAATCCGGTAATTGACATCAAGAGATCACAGTAAGCGATCATAAAAAGTTTGTATAATGAAACGTGAGATTGACAATTTTTTGTTTAAAAGATAGATGAACTAGCTGATCGTTTAGAACAAGTAGATACAGCAGGATTCGGATTTTCTTGAAGAAATTTATTCAAGGGTAAATACATTCAAAATACTACTCAGTAACTCTTACTATTCATCAACACTATATATGTATATATACACCCTTAAATAATTGAGGTAGTGAATATCGACAGAGTACAATGTGTTTGGACATCGGACAGTTGAAAGTCAGCATAAGAATTTCATATCATCCAATAATTATTAATTAAAATTATGTAATAATACCTTGTATATGATGTTTCAGTAGCTCAAACATTTCCTGATTTAGTATGGATCACATTTCAAGCCGACAGGTTGATGACTCAGTATTAATTATTTCAATTGAATCATTTATTTTGAGTTAGTTACAGAGACTAAAAAAATACACCTTATCAACACAACCAATTTCGATTAAGATAGGTAAGATAGTAAACAAATGGTATTATATCATCTGCTCAAATTACACTGTGTACATATTCATACGCTTGTAATTGACGTATATAAAATTAAACAACAAAAAAAAATATTAAACAATGATGAAACGATAGTGAAAATAATAGTTAATCTAAATTACAATACTTGCCAAATAGCTATAATAACGTGCATCATATCCACCAGCTAAATGTCCAAATGATGCAGGCATAAAAGTACCTGGTGTCGGTTCAATACCTATCCATTTTTTGCTTAAATTTGTAAAAGTGACTAGTGGATCATCCTGTATCAAAAAAAAATGAAGTCAAACACAAAACTTAGTTAGAAACAAAGTTATACAAACACATTGATAATAATAATAATAATAATAATAATAATAACTGCGACTGGAGCCCTTCTAGGATTACTGCCAGTTCCAAGCCCGGATAAAAGAGGAGAGTTTGACATGTGGTTAGCGACCCTATCTCGTAAAAGTCCAACTCGCTAATAAAACGTTAACCAGAAAAAATAATTCGCTGTCTGGAGGCCTATGCTCCATTAGGGGTAACAGGTAGGTAAATCATAATAAGGACAGAAGTAAGGATCTTCAAGTTTCACAGCAAGTGAATAACTTCTAAACATTAACTATATGCCAATAGTTGTTTAATTAAGGTCAGTTTATGGTGTAAACTATGAAATCCAATAATCTCTTCAAACTATTCTATCATAATGATAACAATAAAAACATTTCACAAATAACACTCAGTAAGAGAAAAATAAATGGACGCTTTACGGTGAAAACATGGTTTGACAATTTTAAGGAGAGATAAATATAGCTGCCTATATACCAGGTGACATATACACAGTTTTGTGACTGGAAGTTGAGTGCCTTAACTATAGAGCCGCCTGCTCCATCAATATTGATTAGTTATGTTAAACATCGTCATTCTAATTATCTCTCAATATCTTGAAAACAACGTTTTTTTTTAATGCTTTCATCAACCATTCTCACTAACTAATTTCACTATTTACTCTACTTCCGACCGTCTTAGCACGATTAATAATATTGTTTCCATACCTCTATCATTTTAAAACTGTTACGAAAATAAATATTGACTTCGAATGGACATGGTGATTTCTATAAGTTGGGTAACATTCTGTCACTGATCAGCAACTGTTTGATGCTAATTGGTTGAATGTATATAGCAGAAAATCCTGAATATCAGTTTCAAGCTAGTTAGTACTTGTCATCAAGACGCACCAACGATCTCGATAGAACTGATGCTTTTTGAAGGGTGTGAATCTCAGATATGACCAACATCTGTTCACTGTGAAACTGAGAAACATACATTGGTTGATCAGTGATTAGTAGTCAGTTTCACAACTATCTAGTTCCTTAATAGCAATCGAATCTCACCGCCAGTATGAATGACAAGAGATTTCGTACACTATGTTTTTCATGTTAGCTAGTGAAAGATTCAAAGCCAACTACCACCAACCATTTAACATTTAAATATAGTGCACGTGATATTTAGTTACCTTTATCAATGACATTATTGTAATATAATCAGTAAAGTTCAGTTAGCACTATGGAGACTAGATAAACACGACATTGATCAGTAGTACTCTAAGAACAAACAACTGTATAAATATATATATATATATATATATATATATATATATATATATATGTCTAATCTAATAGGAACTCTAAAGTATGTATTCTGTTTCAAACTGAACAAAACCTTCAACATCCTATCATTTTGTAGATTCTTCTCTTTTCAGCATCCAACAATTGAATCTACCTTGAATTCAACACAACAGGCAATAATTATCAATTAGCATCACACGATCATATATACAATGATAATGAATAGAGATTAATTGACTACAAATCTAAACAACCAATTAATGTGTACAAGGAAAAATTCAAACTACAAAACAACGATAAAATAAAAGAAATTAAGAATTTTTTTCAGTTTCAACATATAAAAAAAAGATTAAACTCACTTTCCAATTTGTTGTATGAATAGCTTGATCGAATGATGCTAAAAGTAATTGTCGAGAATAAAATAGACCAGCATTTGCTATACGTGAATTAATTAAATTAGTTAATAAATCTTTTGGAATTGGATCACTATCTGTACCGAGTAATGCTTTTAGTCCATCAGCATTCCATACCCAATTTTCTAACATTTGTGATGGACATTCGACAAAATCTGTTTCTACAGATGTACCACTTTAGAGAAAAAAAATAATCACAATTAAACAAGGATACATGTGTTATTAAACAATAAAATAAATAGTGGGCTAATAGTGAAGTATGAGACATCCAACTTATCTTTCTATTTAAGACTTGTCAAAATTCGATCGATTTACATGCATTCCAGTGTACTAATATTCATATTGGGACAAAAACACAGTACATTTCGTTGAAAAGTTTAGATATCCATTAATTTATTTAATGTGTGTTACATTTATACCATTAATAGTAACATTTTGAAATAATCAAATTCAGTTAAAAGTATGAACGAACGGATAATTCAAATCCTGACCAACAATGGTGTAAACAATATCGATGGTTTGTTTCTAGGTCGAAATAGTATATAAATGCTTAATTCAAATTTGAAGTCTTTACTTGTTTCCATCGTAACTGTTGGGGACGTTAGATCCCCAGAACTCACTTGATAAATGCCTTAATTTGGATTTTATGTTTCCGAGCATGGGCTAATCAGTTGACCTTGAGATTTTATTTCCCAACAGGAAAATCCTTGGCTGTGATTAGTTACTATGTTATTTTAGAGTGCTATTTTTGTGACTGTCCCAAATACGTTTCTATAATGTATAAATAAACGCGATTTGTGTGCTTCAGATCACTATGCTTACTGGATGTTTGTAGAATACACTTTCTAGGCTATATCAAGACTTTTGGGTCAACGGATCAGAGTAGCCTACACGGACACTGGTTCATTGTCTCTTTCTCATTTATCGACTAAGGTGAACCCGTAATAGTTTCAAGCATATCAGGTGACGAGCATAACACAAATGTACAAGCTTCTTGATGCTTGACCAAACCGAATATAAAAAAATAAGAATGATAATCAGAAAGAAGTTTTAGTACCAGGAAATAGTTACGCACATAAATGATGCATATATACATGAGTTAGTAGATCCATCTACATCAAGATAAACAGTTGGTTACTTTGAGAAGTGAATTAGTTCTCATTTGCTAATAACAGTTTACTCATTGCTGCACTTCTCACTTGTCTTTAGGGCAGCATGTAACTTTTCTGGATTTGTAACAACATATGACCTGAATGAATTTTCTACCGGGTTATTCATACTTTAACTACTATTCGTCGGTCAGCTACAACGTACAACTTCGTACGTACGTACGTACGTACATCAGTTTCAGTTGCTGTATCACATTAGTACAAAGATGCAATTGTCGATTCGAATTCCATAGTGGTAGTAGATGTAGTAAAGTATTTGTGGTAATAAAGAAGATTACAGTTCGAAGATATTATTCAAGAAGTATAATCCAGTGAAATAAACTTAAAAAGGGATGTTTATAACAAAATTTGTAATTTCAATGAAGCCAGTGTTAAACAGAATTTTCTGCCGACTAGCTCCAACCACAAAATATCACATACTGGACCTGTTTACCCAAGGTCAGTGCTCATGATAAAAACTACTGTCCAAGAAAAAGACGAATTTTACGTAATAACTAATAGTAGTAACGGTGTAGTGTAACTAGAAAAAGAGATCAAGATAAAGTTGGTTGAAGATTTCTGGCCAATAGTCTATGCTGCACAAGAGGTAACAGGAGTAAATAATGAGCATATATATTTCATTTGGTTTTATCATTAACTTCATTTACTAAAACTATCTACTTACCTAAAGAAGGCTGTTTCAGTGTGTGAACAAATCTGATGCATTAAATGACCAAATTCATGGAAAAATGTCTCAACTTCGTCATGTAATAAATAGCCTTCACCAGTTTCTTTATTTGGTGCAGTGAAGTTAGCAACCATTGCTGCTACAGCCAGTTGACGTTCAGTCGTTAACAATAATGAAGACTGACTATGTTCAGCAACAGTAATATTATAAGGATCCATTGATCTACAGCATCCTGGTTGTAAACCGAATACAGCTGCATGTCCGTATTTACCTTCACGTGGATGCAGATCGAGGTAGAAATAACCTAACAGACTACTAGATTGAGAATCACTTACTGAATACTACAAAAAAAGTATACAGATAAACAGAAAAAATTCATAAGCAACTGTGACAACAAATTTGACAGGAACTCAGGGAATTACAACTTGAAGTATATGAACAAAACAAGTAAATGAACAAAAAGTGATTAATTCTACTGAACAGATTGCATTTTGACATAATTATGGACAATAAATAGAGTGTACCTAGTACTTCATATAAATCTAATGTTTTTTTCCTTACTAAATAAACGAATTCTCGATCTATAAAACATGAATATCAGATGTTCACATTGTTTACAACAACTCTTAACATTACGACTAAATATTCGATAGTTCGATATAAATTTTACCAAATTTACATGGTTTTCACACAAATTCAGTGTGAATAATGCTTAGTAATAAACATAGTTCAAATTAAACAGGGAAAACACATTCAAATTAAACTCTTTTATTTTTAAAATAACAAAACCAAATGAGCTGAATGTTCTACGGTGGTGAGTCAACCAGTTTTTAAATAACCAACTGACGGTAACATATTCAAATTGAATAAAGACTGGTACATTGAGCTTACATGGGTTTTTAACGCCACATTCAATTACTTTAGTTTCGAAAGTCATTCAATGTGTCACCAGCCTTACAAATAAAAAGTACAATTTTAACACAACTGAATAAAAATAAGCTACATTTACAAACTAACCATTTCTACTTCTTCATGCCAAACTTCTGCATTCGAGACACGCTCAAATTTCAAACCAAGTAAATGTTGATATAGTCGTAATATACCTGATTTTACAGTGGTCAATGGGAAATATTTCTTCAAAACTGTTTCGTCAACGGAATAGTCTCGTTCTTTAACCATATTCATATAATATCGTGTATCCCAAGGATTTAAGCAATTATTAAACGTATATCCTAAACGTTCACACTGAAAGAGGAAAATAAACCATGCATGAAGCTTATAAAGAAGAATACAATCGAACACAAGTTTTTTTATAATTCGACAATATCAAGTGGCGAGAACCGATTGAAAACCAGGGAATACTAAAATCTGATTGTTTTGATTCAGTTTAGAACTTTTCGACAGTGCGACATTTATGCTTTTATAATGAGTACGTTACCTTAAAATATCCATGAAAATAGAACATAATTTACATAAAGATCAGTCAGTTATTGTGAACATATAATCCAGTAATAATAATATGGCATCAGTACAGATTGTCACATCATATGAACACAATCAAAAAATAAATCAACAGAGTTGAAAAAAAGAAAATATTCAAATTTTCACTTCATTTAGACAACTGTTTTAAATCAGGAAGCACTGAACAGCTATTTTTGACCTAACATAGGACTACTCAATGGAGATACGCATCCACGGCCCTACTAGGGATCAATAATCTACAAAAAACACCATAAAAATAGTTATTACGCGATTACTTGTGACTAATTCTTGAAGTTCTAGTGAAAAGCCGTAACCAGTAGAGATTAATCATGTTAAGCATGAGACGAATATCACTAGGGGCAATCAACGATTATTATGAAATAACTGAAGTTATTGATTTCAGCCGTCAGCTGGTAACTAAGTGATATGAAGGTGAAACGCTGGTCACAGTGCTACAAGTTCCTGGGTTTGTGCTCAGATAAGATCGCAGACACACACTGTTAACTAAGGACTCCATACTAAAATAGAAACAGTTATGCGGTGTTTTCTATATGTTACTGATTAACTAACATAATGTGAAACTTCATATACAACCAATTTCCATAATATTCCATAATAAAGAAGTCAAAATAATAGTTAGAAAAAAAAATAAAAATTATGGACACTGTTAGAAAAGCGTGTACGTACATAAATATATGGAAATTCAGTATTTATTCCGAAACAAAGGAAGAATATATCAGTACAACTGCGAGTGATTTTGAATCGCTTAAAGATTCTAGAAATTAAACATGAACAGAGTGAGGCGAAATCCATCCAACCATGAGGTATGAATTGAAACGAGACATTGTTTAGACCAACAAATAATCATTGTATGAACTGTAACAACATTCAAGTTTAATTCAGTATCAGTTGAGAAACAGAATAACTTAGAGTACGATTTAACTAAATGACGAAATCAGAATCCGATAGATCGGAATTTCTTCTTAATGACTTGAGTACTACATCAAAGAATGTCATTAAGCTTGTGCACTTTTTTGCACATTTATGTCAATGATCACATGATGCAGCCATTCACATTGGTTAGATGGCCAATAACTTAGAAGTACCATATTGTTTCAACCCTGCTCACTATCAAATATATTCTTATTCCATACTACGATCATACTCGCCATCACTCTCTGTAGGCTTTATGTGCGTTGTCTGAGTACAGTGTTTAAAAGAACTTCATGTTGTGTATCGCCCAATATGGATGTCATATCAAGTTATCTCTCGTAATGGACAGATTATTTGACTTTCTGAATACAGGTCTGTGAGTATGTCCCTTGTCCAAAAGACAACAACAACAACTATAATTATCAAAATAAAATAACTTATTTTTATCCAAAGAATAATCTTACCTCTTCTTTTTTCAATTCTAATAAACGTGCAGTCTCTTTCACCTGAGCTTTTTTTAATTTTGTTCCAATGTTATTTAAAAATTTATCAACATTGGCAGCAGTTTTAGCCATACGTAAATCAAGCATAAAATCAGTATGTGTAGGAAAACCGAGAATCGTTGCACGCTAAAAAAAAAACAAATTTATACACAACAATTCGTAAGATAAGTGAATGAAAGTCACAAGAAGCTACAATATAAAAAGAAAGACCTTAGCATATATATAATGTTGAAAGCTACTAAGTAGTTTAAATGTACTTCATAAAAATGAAAGTCAATCTCTCAGTCACAAATAGTGCACAGCTTCGTACTAATGTAAGACAGTTCAAGTTCTCACTACACATTAGCACAACGATAATTTGAAGGTGAGTAGTGAAAGGATGTAACAGCAGTGATGATGAGATGTACTCACCTTGAGACTGTAGTACAAAAAGATAAAATGAAAAGATTTATGTGACAGAAGATTGGAAACCAGAGTCAAAGGTAAGATAAATGGTAAATGGATCAAAGTTAGTGTAAGTGATTCTGAAATATATTATCCAATATGCACATAGGCTAATTAATGCCTTCACGCAGACACCAAACAAGTAGTATGCACTCAGATAGACAGTCTATAATACTGTAAATAGATTTTGCATTTTGGTTTGACCACAATGTTGTTACTTTCAATTTACTCCAATATTAGTTAACATTATTAATTTGTGAAAGAGATGATGGGACATCGAACACTGGGATTAAAACATAAATTAGTGCAACATTGAAAGGGAATAAGGATAACTAGTTTGCTCGGAAGAACGAAATCGTAATAAAATATAAGATTTCTGTGCAAAAATACTGCTTTGCAGTCAGATGATCGGCTAGCTCTAAATGTACCTGCTACTCTGATGTGGTGGTCGGGTTCGCCTATCGTGATGACCCAAACCAGCTACATTGGATGGAACATTTGTTCCTGTAGGTCCTACGAGACAGATCAACTGGAGAGCAGTAAAACTGGACGCAGCAACTGAAGGTTTGAGGATGAAGTCATACTGCTGACTGTAGAAGTGTCACAGCAGTAAGGTGTTTTCCTCGGAAAATCAGCATCTGCAGTGATGCTGCCCACCCACAACGGAAGGGGTTAGAAAACGTTGACACTAAACATGTCGCACCTCAGCTTGCCCCATGGATTTCCGTCTCCAGTGATAAGGCCATTCGAAGAGCGGAGCTAACACTTTAAAAATTTCCCATAAAAAGGCCATGCGCGATCAGATTCAAGCAGTCGTTCCTTAGGTGAACCCGACCACCACGTCAGGGTGGCAGCTAATTTTGGGTCACAATTACAGGTTTAGTGTTTATTAGTTATTCACATTTTGATTACGGGGTTCTGGAGGTTCAAGTTTCGCTTAACTTAGTGTAATTGCTAGCGCCTTTAGATAAAATTGTAGCATAAATTAAGATGCTTCCGATATATGAAATCTACTGAATCAATATTTTTTAATACGTAGCTAAGATCAGAACTGTGAACGTTGTTTGTATCTTTCACCGTTTACCATTGTTCTTCACATAAAATAGTTCAACCTATAGTCTGACAAACGAGCAAAAAAATCACTGTATTGTTATATAATAGTCAAACTAGTACTATTAATAGTAATGATAAGCATCTAGTAATTTGTAGTTCGTAAAAGTACATTGAAATTATTGCATAATAGGTACAAATAAAATGATTTACTTCTTTGCGTAGTTCCATTAAACGTTTTAATATAGGTGAATTTTCCTTAATACACCTAAAAACCGAAAGAAATTCATACATCAAAAAATGTATGAGAAAATACTTAATACTTTACTATCTAGGGCAAAAACAATTCACTTCAGAAAAATATTCATATCGTGTAGCTGTAAGAAATATCAACCTAAATAGTAGACACTAACTTCAGTCTACTGATTCATGGGAGTTGCCTTCATCAATCCTGATTTCAGCTCTTCACGTTAAGTGTTCAAAAACAAAGAATATCGGAGTGAATAATCGTTCCAAATAACTTTAAAAATAAAGATAATGCCGCTATTTCTACTCATATGGTACATAGTGAATAGTGTATTAAGATAGAATCCCATATGGTTTCATATCGTCTTGTCTATTTCGCCAGAAAGAAGTATGATCACGTTTTATTCATAAAATAGAAACCGAACTTATGAATTTAAAGTACTTGTATGCAGCTACTGTTTCTAGCTTAGTTCAAAACAGTCACCGTAATAATAATCCTAAGATTACAAACTCTTAACCTTGAACTCCCTTTTATGTTCATTTCTGCCTCATCCTAATCGTATAAACATTTTTAACTGCACATTCGTCATAATTAATTCACATAACTTGCCGATTATCACAATTATGTTCAGGTGGTAGACAGGAAACCCTGAACCTGTATTTTCTGATAGCTGTCATTCATTAGCCAATAATATCTCAAAATTTCATGGGACTGACATTGATCATTACTCAGTGCTCAATTAACTGCGAATTGCTATAATTAATCCAACGATAAAGATTCTCCTAATGCATTCACATCATTATGCCGTACTCATTGCAACTCACTCTTATGAACTATTTCTATTACCCTTACTTATACGATCTTTCAGAGTTAATGGCGAATTCTGTAGGTACTCAAACAGTAATTAACTTAAGAATCCATTATTATTGATGCAAAAAATTGATTAATTCGATCATAACTTATGTATGTATGTTAAATTCACCTTGAATTAAAAGCTGTTTCCAATATTCTTCTTGTTTCTGGATTAGATGCTTTTTGCATGATTGGGAAATAGTGTGGATATTTGAGAGATACTTCACGTTTGCCAGAAGGAAGCTATTTTCAATTAGTAATCAGTTAAAAGTATAATAAAACAAATATTACAAAATATATGATTAGTTTCTACTGAAATGTTTTCAAGTGATACAAATATTTAAGTTATTTGGATGAGTTTATCCTTCTGTTATCAGTAAGCTCTACATTCACCTCATTGACTACGAAAAAGGATTCGATAGCGTGGACAGGAAAACACTATGGAGGCTTTAGAACACTACGGCTGTTCTATCGCACACGCAACAGCAAGTGCAAGAGAAGACGACCAGTACAGCAGCAACCTCAGGAGCAGCAGGTATCAACATACATGAAGGGAAAAGCAAGATTCTCCGATATAACACAATATGCGCCAACCAAAAGGAAGCCCGGGACAGACTAGGTTGAAGAATACTGGTCGGCGGCCTATGCTCCATTGGGGATACAAGCGTAAGTAAGTAAAGTTTACTCAATACTCGAACTGTACATCCTTTAGATTAGATTTCGAATACAAAAGGTCAAGATAGATGACCAAGGTGTAATAATCTTTACTGATAACCAAAACATTTTATACGAAAGGCATCTGTTGTAACCCGATGAGCCATTATCTCACTTTTAAAGTAAATCTTTATAAAAATCAGAATTTGGTGTCCATGTAGTAAGACCGATTGTTTCTAACACAAAACGCCGGAAATGATGTTTGGTTTAGTGAGTATACACCTATAAAGAATGGGGTACATCACTTGAGGAAAAGAAATGAAATATTCAGAACTTGTTGGAGACCGCACTTATTCGCAACAGGTCGACCGCAATCACCCAAAAGGGACTTTTTGACTAGCGTTAACTCAAATTTTCTAAACCCGAAGTTCTGTGCTTGCAACAAGAGGGAGTGGTTACTAAAAACATCCCAAACGTATATAAATACTCACACATTTTCGGTAACAAGGGAATAAGTTTTTGTTAGTAGTAGTCGACAATTAGCCATGTCGGTAATTGTCGACTACCTGGTTGGGGTCCGCGAGATGATAATAATCGATGGCTAGAGACCTTGAATGACATGGCTCAAAATCGTTCGCAATGGCGCCAGTGCATTTATTCTTTGTGTTCTCTCAAATCCTAATCTTCTGGATTCTTCAACATCTCTAGTTTTTACTTTCTAAACTTATCTCATTGAATCATACTTAGTGAATACTATCTTCTAATTCTAACCTCTCCGATTACTTCTAGTACCTTTACTACCTCTTCTACTATTGGATTTGAATTGACAATTATATCTCTGTGCTGATGTGGTATGGTGACATGAACTGATGTACTTACGTACGAAGTTCTACGTTGCAACTGACTGACTGACTGACTGAAGTTTTTGTATTCTCTTATTAAAGGCTACATCATCATCAACAGCAACATAGAACTTTGCACGTAACTACAGCAGTTCGAGTTGCCATACCACATTAGCACAGAGATGTAATTGTCAATTCAAATCCCATGGTAGTAGAGGTAGTAAAAGTATTAGGAGTAATCGGAGAGATTAGGGTTCGAAGATATTATTCAAGAAGTATAATTCAGTGAGGTAAATTTAGAAAGAGAAAGACAGAGGTGATGAGGAATTCAGAAGGTTAGAATTTCATAGAACACAAGGAATAAATGCACCTGTGCCATTGCAAACCATTTTTAGCCATGTCATTCAAGGTCTCTAACAATCGATTATTATCATCTCGCGGACCCCAACCGGGTAGTCGACACCTAGTCGACAACTGATGAAGTTTCATTACTTCATCTGTTGACCTGCCATCCTTACCTAGCACCCGTTTCCTAACAACAGCATTGCTTACTCGGCTGTCCCACGATACTCGAGAAATGCTTCGGAGACACCTGTGGTCGAAAACCAGTAACCCACGATTATCTTCTAGGCTAGAAAATAAGTCAAAGTTATACAGAGGATAGTAAACGTTTGACGGGAAAGTTGCGTTCATTACAATGTTAAGGCTTGCTTGCAGAACTAGATATGGGTTATGGCACGAATCAGTGAGCTTTAATGGTGTGAACTTATAACGTGAACAAGTGACTGGGACATAGCATTAACCAACCCCAGCTACATGTGATTTTCCAAATCGAGTAGCTAACAGCGCAAAAATTTTTGGTTGGAACTGATTACATACAACAATGTGGTATTTACCTTGTTACTGATTAAGTCGTGTGCTGGTCTGAATCCGGTAATAAATCCGGTAAGACAATTTTTTAACTAAGGTATACGACCCTATGAAAACCAATGGCAATATAGTTTAAAACTAATCTTGCTCTCATCCCATAGTTAGCCTTCCCTGCAATGTATCACTTAGTTGCTTTACGATCTTGGCATAACTGCTTTGTACTAAAGTAATGAAATATCAGCATATACACTGACATCAAATTTTATTTTGTTTAACGTAATTATGGGTCAGTAAACATTGATAGTAAGTATTCAAATCCACAAAGATGTTCTATCATTTATACTAATTTTAACTACTCCTATCCCATTAGGGGCAGTTGGATGGCGTCACAGCGGTACTTAAGCCGAAATAAATTATCTAGAATTACAAAAAACACTTGGGCAGTTGGTCGAAATACCAACGACCTCAACACTAAAAAGTTTGTCAAAAATCTACGGTTGAAGCATAAAATAACACCGGAAAAATTGAATCACCTTTTTCAAACCATCAATGAAATCAGCAGGACATCCAGCTAAAAACCAGAACAATTAAAACTATGTTAATTTTCATAACCCAAAAGATACACAAGAATAAAGTTGCCTTAAACATTTTAGTACCTACTCAAAATACCCTTTATCGCAAGAATCGTCGGATCATTTCATCGCTAACTATACAACCGCTTTGAAAGAAAACAAGTAAACCTTCAGCATGAGCGGTAAACGACTGAAGAAATGAGTCACTAAACTAAACATCAATAAGAGACCAAATCTAAAATTTTATACTTCCTGCAACTGTTAAAAGCGAAAATACATTACATTGTTGGATCGCAAACAGTCGATTGTACGACTACTGAGGAAACAATTTAACTAAACTCTGCGGATGCTGGACAATGGGTTTGTAGCCAAACTAAAAGTACATTATGCTGCATTAGCAAACTGTAAAAAAGCAAATTTCATGGCTATGACAAGACTGCTTCAAGAAAAATATCACTTTTGATTGTCATATCAAAGAGAAAAAGCTTTTCAGTTAACATGAACGGTACTGATAACCAATGAAATAAAACTACTGAGCAAAGAATAAATTCATCACTGAGTCTGTGCTTTTGATAACTGGACAAGTTTATACAGCCACCTACTGTTCTTCAACCGTCAAATACATACAGTAAAAACGAAGCATATTAACCTTAACCCATCATAATTATGTTATTGACGTCTCGTTACATTGACCATAAATTCTGCTATTATTGTCAACCTACTCAATTCCTCATCCGTAAACTGCAACAACATGTTCTCTTCATTTAAAGCACGTTGGAAATCGATACATAACTGATTTTCTTCTTTATTCAAAGCTTCTATCAATTTCCTTTTATCGTCATCCAGATGAAGACCTGTTAATCATAAATACAAATTTATTCATCATTGCACTAATGAAACAAGCGACAAACCATTTCTTCGACCAAGTTGAACTTTCCTATTTACGTAACGAAGGTATTCACTGGAGAATGATACATCAATATTTTCTTGAACTGAGACGAACTTTTCAAACACATCTTTCCGCATTCTAAGTTATCGAAATTAAATTAAAGTAGTAAAAGTTAGCTAAAAATATTATTTTAAGTAAATAGTAATCACGGTACTTAGTACATCGGAAGGAAACTAAATGCAGAGAAAAAATAATACTAACACTAATCCAAGATTCTGTGGATATCTCAATAAATTAAGTAGCAATGTTTCTTAAAATAGCTCTTATTCACTTAAGCTAATGACAAGCCATGCAGTCAGCAATACAGAGATGTTGCTAGTTGGTCTTTATTCTAAAATGTTGATCAACTTTCTAAAGATATGTTTAAGAGGCAGTCACATAAAAGTACAACATTAATTCAGAGATTATCAATGATTAGTTATGGTCGTATTAGGAAGTATGAACTTTGTTGACTATGTTTGTAGGGCGACCGTACTAGTTGAACTAGGATGTTCGATACTATAACCCACAATTCACTGAAGTGGCACTACTCTAATTGTTCTGTCAAGTGAAAGTGTAAACCAATTACTGATTTATATCTTAATTTTCTACTGCTGTGCTGAATTGGAATATAAAAACAGGGTTCTTTAGTGCCTACTTGTAGTACAATGTTTTTACCTAACCTAGTGATTTGATTCAATGCTTAACTTCAAATGAAGACTCTGCATTATCAAGGAATGCCTGGATATTTCATGACAGAGGAAACAAACTTCGTAGAATCCCACTTATATTTCTGTGATGTACTTCCACATGAAAGTTATTTTTCCAGAAACTATAGCTGGTTGGATATGCAAACAAAATTTAGATAATTCTTATTCACAAAACAAGTAGTCACGGAGGACTAGTCCTTCATTATATCAAATAAACTCACTCCAATTCGACTTCAATATCCGAAAGTTTACGGGTAGCATCACAGCTAGCATCCCTCATAGCTTTACAAGGGAACGTGTGTTGAGGAAAGTCGATAGCATTCCTTTCTGTTTGGTATTCAGCTTCGAACAGAGACATAGGCTGTAGATATGTGGATATCAACAATATTTTAATTTACCAGGACAACTGACTCAAAAGTGGCAGACTCAGACGATGCCACTTTGTCATATACTGAACGAGCATAATTTATAAGAGCCGATGTTCTTTTAACGATATCTCCAACAGACGTTGACCACTTCAGGCGACAACCCGCGGGAACCGACATTTTCAAATCTGTGTTGACCTAGACGAGTTATTTCAATGCTTCCAATATCCACATCTTTTTCTCGTGTTTAGTTTATTAATTGGTAGTGAAGATTGTGAGAGAGAAACGAAGTGTAAACAAGGAAACAGAAATACTTGGCAAGATATATTAAGTTAGTGATCGGAGTAGATCGCAATAATAACGACTAGAAAGTCTCAAGGCAGGCATCAGGCAAAGATGTTCCACGAAGCAACATGATAATCCGTAACTGAGTAGGTGCTTATCAAGTTTCTTCTTAAATCTGTTCGATGAGATGGCTGTGGTCACCTCGGCTTGGAAAGCATTCCAAGCAGCAACGACTCTTAATGAGAAAGTGTGCACAACCTTCAGTATTCGCCCTTCGACGCGCAATTTTTTGAGGATTGCCTCGAGGGCAGTGGTGGTGATACATCTGTAAGATGCTTAAGTTGGAATATCGTACGCCATAACCAGATCAGCTCTGATTCGCCTGTAACTCAGCTGGAATAATCCAAAATGCTGCAGACCATCTTCGTAAGTATTGTTTTTCAACACTATCACCCATTTCTTTACTCTTCTCTGCACTCGATCCAAGAGATTTATGTCTCTTCTAACGAGAGGATGTGTGATGACGTTGTGAACCTCAAGATGTGAGTCTGCATATGTTACAAACAGCCTTAAGAATAATTCATGGGCGATTGCACCAAGTTGTCTTCGCATAAAGTGAAGTGTTGCACTTGCCTCGGCTGCGTCCCCTATAAAGTTTGAACTGGTGTGGAGGCTTCCAGTGGCTATTAAACCGAGATAGCGCTCTGAGGAGACACTAGGACTAATTCTAGTCAGTTGGCAATTATTTATGAATTTGTATTTCCCGAGATTTGAGTGAGTAATTTTGTCCCAGCGCTTTAGGGTTTCTGGATGCCGGAGATCAGTAATAATAATAATAATTTATTGTCAAATAGTAAACATGTTACAAGAGGCATGACAATTTACAGGCAAGATCAACACGTTTAGATTGGCAACATATTTCTTTTAAAACGGTGTACAGTTACAGAAATATTTCACATGACACACTGGCTCTATTTAGATTACTAAAATTTTTCACATAGAATTACAGATAATTTTGCAGATTCTAAAATTTACAATATGAATAATTGGCTCGAGTTACACAGGTTGCATTACCATGAGTTTCTTAATGACTGCAAAAATATGCAAGGTAGAGCTTAAACTGCATATAACAAGAAGAGATGAGGAGAACGTTCCGAGAACTGGTTGATAAATATACATGTCTGTAGAATCCTTTTTGAATGTTTTGTTTTTGGAAAATCCCTCCATGTTTACATATTTTTGTTATGACATGACGGACTTTTTCTGTTGACATTTTTGGTATTTTATTTGATTCCAATTTGAGATTTTATCATTGTATATTGTTATTATTTCTATATTTTGTACTTATATTGAAGTTTTTGTGTTTGCTTCTGATCTGTATATATGTTGTTTAAATTTGATCTTTAATATGGCTACAGCCATATTTGGATTGATCCGGTCGCAGTTGGACTTAACGCCACTTACTCATCCTTGTTGGATACTCTTCGGAGTAATTGTAACCTGGAAGGTGCATCAATCCCAGACCGTTTTCTCCTAGAATTTTTGCTTTTTCTGGACCTTGAATTGGGAGATACGCGTTCGGAGTGCACTTATTGGAACCCATTGGAACTGCCACCGTAGAAATCCATTTACAGTCTGGAATTGCGTCTCGACCTTTGATTAGAAGACCAATTACAGTCGGATAAGAAGAATAAAGAAACATTTGGAAATTTAATCGTTTATAACACTAACTTTCTTGAAAGAAGAATCTTGGATTACTTATCGTATTTTTGTATTCGAACTGCATTGTGGAGGACGATTTTTTGATTTTGGACAATTTATACCTGTGGAATTCCTATATTTTGTATTTGTTATTAATCTTCCGTTTAACTTCACTTAAAAATGATCCACCACAAGAAAACAAACACGAGGAGGGTGGAAGAGCTTGACGTATCCCGAAATGCTAGGCAAGTCGTTAATGATGATTGTTTAATGGGTTCCTACTATGTTAACACTGATGTTATGTCTGATACTTATTATTGTAAGTCACCTTTGACAGGCATTAAGGAACCAGGCTTAAGTGAGAGTTCTAAGGTACCAGAGACGGATCAGATACTTAGGGCACCGATAGTAGGTTTAGAACTACCTAAGGTCGAACTTTCATTTTTTGATGGAAAGTCTCGCGACTATTTTAGATTTATGCGCCAAATAGAAACGTTTATAGAACCCAGAATAAAAGATGAAAATTTGCGTTTATTGTATTTAATTCACTACTGTAAAGGAAGGGCAAAAAATGCGATTGAAGGTTGTATTATAATGGATCCACAAGCGGGATATAAGAGAGCTAAGGCCATCTTAAAACAGCTCTTTGGACAGTCGCATGTAATAGCCCGTGAAACCTTAGAGGACTTATTTAAAACTGGGAACGCAGATTTTAATGATCCTGAAGAATTGACGAATTTGGCTATTAAAATGCAGAATGCTGCTTTAACCTTAGAACAGCTAAACTGTACAACGGAACTTCATTCCCTGGTTACTTTAGAACGAATAGTCGGGCTTTTACCTCGTCGAATGCAAGCCCAGTGGGTAGAGCTGGGAATCAAGTGGAACGAAGAGGAGAGAGAGCCTAATTTCAATGAGTTGACGGAATTTATTATGTCTCGTGCTAAGATAGCTAGTAGTAGGTTCGGAAGATTAGCTTATCGGGCTAAAACAGGACATAATACGGAAGCTACAAGTGGTCTGCGTGCGAGACATGAGGATTCTTCGTTTCTACCTAACGCACGCACGGAATATAAGAGAGTTGTCAATTATATCACGAAAGTATACGCTGTTGAAGGACGAGTATGTGACTAATGTATAAGGATTGGAATAAGGTACCGAATAAAGAGAAATAAAGAGAACGAGGCAAGAAGCAGAATAGAAAACATTCTTGTTTAAAGACGAACAATAGGGAGAATAATAAGTTTAAGTTTCTAATGCTGATACAAAGTCATGAGGAAATGGCGATGACAACAACTAGCAAATTTGGAGATATGCATCAGGCACAGCCAGTCAAAGAGTGAGATGACAATCCGTCTGTATGTGTTTAACAAGTCTGTTGTTGTAGCTACTCACTAGGGAGGCTGTGGTCACTTCGGCTGGAAGAGTACTCCATGTTGGCACAACTCTTGAGGAGAAGAAGTGTCAACGTACCTGGATATTTGTCCCTAGTTGTGTGTCTTCGTAAAGTTGATTCTTGAACACTGTCATCCTCTCAGCTGCTCACCTCTGTAATCCATCAGAGATAATTATGCATATTTGGAGGGCAGAAGACGCAGTGATATTGGAAACTTCAGGGTGTGGTCGCGCGTATGTTTTAAAAAGAGTTAGGGACAAATCTCAGGTGACTGTACCCAGTTGTTTTGGCACAAAGTGAAGAGTTCCGGTAGCCTTGGCTGAGTCCCCTTGGTAGTTCGAACTTGTGTTTAGGCTTTCTGTTGCCAACAGTCCTAAATTTCACTCTGAGGAGACATTAGAGAGCGGACTTTTACTGAGAATGCAAATTGCTGGCGTCATGCATGGAAGAATGTTCTTAACGTGACATATTGCCTGATAAAGTTTTAGCCTGTTTTTCTACTGCTCATTCCTCAATCGATGTGCGGTCCTTTTGAAGTTCAATTGAATCTTCTTCGCTTTTTATGGACCTCTAGATCTTTGCGTAGATCAATGCCGCTGGGCAGGTTTTGTCTAACTTATCATTTATTAGTATCAGCAAGAGAAGTGGACGCAAGACAGTTCCCCGTTAAACTCCTGACGTTGGGATTTGCCGTCTCGGGTGCATTCTATCTACCTTGGTGCGAAACTTTTCATTCTCAACGTAGTTCCGAATCAACATAGAATCGGATCAGTGAAGTTTGGTTCTGTGGTGACAGCACTAGAAAAGTCAAAAATATAGTGCCGACCGATATTTTTCTGTTCTAGCAGGTTTTTCAACTGTCCCATACTATGAGAACTGCGGATGAACTTAACTTACCGTCACTAAACCGAGTCAAGCTTCATGGAGGTCGCAGTTCGGGTCATTTCCATCTCTTCCTCAGATAATCGGAGAGTAGCTTGTTTTCATTCAGCTGGGAGTTGGCATGACTGCAGTTAGTGCCTGAACTCAGAGATCCTGCACACTGTTTCGGGATTATAGGACGAACGTTATCATATCCTACTAACTTTCCTGGACTCGAGAACTTTAATTTTCTTAGCTTTAACCAGGAAGCAAATCGGGTATTCTCTAGGCCCTTAGAAGGCAAGAGGTTTGATTAGTACTCCGAGATTCTAGGTACCTAGTTTAACCTGTCGGTGAAGTCGGCAACAAAGATTCCAGCCATCTGTTTGTTCGTAAGACCTCCATTCGGACCTGTGATACAGTAAACACTCTTGTTTGTAGGTTTACTTTTATTCATGTTACGGGAGGAATGAAGACATTTGGCTGATTAAAACTTTTATATAAATATCATTAATTTCACTGTTTTTCGGGTATATTTGTTTTACTTAACTTATGAACTTGTTTGATTTATTTCGGCCGTTTTTGGACTCCTGTTTGTCTTGGTTTGTTCGTTGGCAGTTTTTTTGCTCCAGGAATCTATAAAATTGAAGAACGACATTGGTCGTCTATTTGTAATAAACGAACGACATTTTGGTCGATTATTGTGAATTAAGAATAAACTTTGGTACCTACTTTGGAATTTGGTTTTGCTTTGATTTAGGATCGTGAATTTGAAATAGATCGACACACCGTACTTCAAAGGGGCAAGGAGCGAAAAATTGGACGTAACTATTCACGAACCTATACATAGATTTGGGGTTATCTGTATTTCGGGTTCTTCCTTTATCTGGAAGTGTCTCCAGTCGCTTCGAACTTTGATACTGCATTAAAAACTACGATCGAAATCCTGC